TTCTTCATCCATCTGCGCCCGGATCAGTGGATGCAGCATGAGGATCCCCACCTCAGGCTTGGCAGCTGGATGAGCACGAGGAGTGGCCAGAATTTCACTAAAGCCAGCCAAGTGGAAGGCTCAGGGGGAAACCCCTTCTCATTTTGACAGGCCAAGCGAAGCCAGAAATTCCGCCCAAAGCAAGCTCGGACCCAAGCTGCACCCCGATACAAAATAATTTGGAGAGACACCCACATTCATTATAAAACAGTCCCTGCAGGTTCAAAGGCAGCGCCCGGCCTGCTTCTTTCCCTCCCGGCGCATGGCATGCTGGAAGGCCTGAAGAGGAAGCTTGCAAGACTCGCCCCAAAGATTGAAAACTTCCTGCTGGGCAAGTTTTCCCAAAACCACAGGCATATCCAGCAGGAAGCCAAACCGTTGGAGTCCGATTTCTTAAAACTGTCGCTTGCCCCACCTGTACCTCCACCACACGCGGCCCCTCCCCATTGCGCGGGCTTCCGTCCTGGCGAATTTGCCCAACTGCCAAGGTCCAACGCAAGCCAATCAAAATTATCTTGCGGATTGGACTCTACCCGGTAAGCAGGGTATCCAGCCAGAGATACTGCAAATCTGAACAGCCAAGATCTGTCGGCCGAGGCAATGTCTGTTGCGATGTGAGACCCGGTCAAAATGACTTGTCCTCCCCAGAAAAAAATGAATGAGTTCCCCATGTCCCTCCTAAATGGAGCATGGATTACTGGTAATTTTGACCGGGCATCATGTGCCCCCATGAACGCCAACAGCATCGCTTCCTGAACCTCCGACTCCTTTTCCGGGAGGCTGACTTTAGCATGATCCAGAAGGAGGTCGACCAAGGCAGCGCCAATTTGGACTGTGCGAGTCGGACTTTGGAATGCCTGACCAGAGAAAGGCACCGAAGTGAAGCACGCAGACAGCTGACTAAACTGACTAAACACGCTTTTTTGGGGAGTTGGGCGCTGTTACATTTTAGCCAAGCTGCCGCAATGTGCTTTTGCTTGTGGAACGAGTTCAGCTTGTCGTCTTTGTCCCCTGCCAGCGAGACAGTGCCCTTGGGGAAGCTTCCGGAAGCTTCGGGAAAAAAGGGGGGGGAGGGGGGGACCACCCTTGTTTCAATCTCCCCCCCCTTTTTCCCGAAGCTTCCCTAAGGCTTCCGGAAGCTTCCACAAGGCTTCCGGAAGCTTCCCCAAGGCTTTCGGGAAGCTTCCCACCGATTTGGCCCAAAGCAGGGGGGGGGGGGTAAAGGGGGGGGGGTTGCGGCTTCTTAATCAAGATAGAGCTGAAGCATGGTTGACCCGCTCTATGTTGGAGTATACCACGTTAGGCCTGAGAAGGGTGTAGTAGAAACAACATTGCTGGCACAACTCCCCTGTACCTTGCAACAAGGGTTACTCACCTTTTGGCTTATTTAGCAAGCTGCAAACCATTGAATATTGGAACCCAGGATTAACAATCCGTGGTGGATGAACATGAGGTTCTCCCAGGGCCCAACCTATGTGCCGGAATTCAGTGCAGGAGTCATAAAGAAAAAGTATCCGTTCCATGGCCGACCCTGGTTGGGGTCGTTCGAAGAGGTGAGCGGCCAACCAATTTTAGTGAGAACATGACTCCTGGTTCAGTGTGGTCAGAGTTCCTTTTGCCAAAATGTGTGGTCGGAAGCGACAGATCTCACGTTGCCAACCATAAATGGAGTATGCGTGGCTCTTGGCCCTTCTGTGGTTTGTGGTAGACTCCTGGTGGCTACCAGGTTTGTTGGTCGCTTGACACCTTATTGGGATTGTTTTGAAGGGAAGCCAAATTCAAATCACCCAGTTCGGGATTTGGAAAGCCATTTGCTGTTATGCAGCGATGGGAAACGTACACGAAGGCCAGCTTGCATGAGCTTTGGATTGGGCAACAGAAGCCTAATTACCGGGGGAAAGTTAAGCCTTAGTCCCATTGCCATTCAACCACGCATCGTTCGTTCCCGCATGCTTGCGCCTTTCTTGAAAAACCCTGTTCGCACCTTCCGCAAGGCTTCCGGAAGCTTCCGGAAGCCTCCGGAAGCTTCCGGAAGCTTCCGGAAGACTTACGGACTTCTGAAGCTTCGGGGGAGCGGACGGGAAGGGCAGGGGACGGGGAAGGAAGGGGTGCGAGGGGGACGAGCATGAGCGTAGTGGTGGGTGTCATTTTCCAGGGCTTGTCGCGCTGCCAGTCAGTGGGGACACCTTTGGAAGCCAAATACTTTAACAGTGTTATAACACTCCAATAGCAGTGCTATAGCATGTCTCAAGGGGGGGGGGGTAAGGAGGGGGGGGTTTATGCTTACTAGAAGACAACCCCAACAATGGTACCGAGCCTCAGAAAGGAAACACCCTGAGGTCCATATGTTCCTTTTTTTTGGGTGAAGCAGCTTCCTTTCGGGGTGATGTTTGAAGGAAATATGCGTCTTGACATTCAACTTGACATATCCTCAAAAAGCACACCGTCTTGATTCTGCGGCTCTCTCTCTCCGCCTCGCAGCTTGGTGCGCTCCCGGTGCCACCGCTCCGCCTCCACGGCCTCCCCCACCGCCGTGGCCGCCGTGACGAAGGGCACTTGCCCGAAGAGGCCCTTCTGCGCTGCCTGACAACTGGGTCTCTGGTCTCTTCCCATCCCACAACCAGCTCAAGACTCAAATTCCCACCGATCCAAGGTCCAAACAATTAAGGCTTATTTGGGACCGTGCAGGTGAGGGGCGGGAGAAATTCCAACGGCGGAATAATCCAAGGAGTAGCCCCAACCTCCCACCTTACGACAACCTGGCATTCCCTGGACGGCTTGAAAACGGAACGTTGAACCCAGGGATTAATTCCTGGGTTTGAGTCCATCTTGTGAATATCAAAATGATCAAACTCCCCAAGCTCAGGTTGCCTTAGGAGTCGGATTTCCGAAGCCTTCGGTCTGGGAATCAACATTGCCACTTGGGACCGGAAATCCCAAAAAACAATGCCGCCTAAAGTGGCGCCCTCCCACGTACAGAATCACCAGATTTGTTTCCAGAAGGAAAATGATGCAAACCGTAACATGTTTAGAGCCGCTATTGTCAAAACAACCTCCTTTGGGTTTGCCTATGTTACTATGTTTGTTTGTTTGAAGGAGTTTCGCCCGACCCTACAAGGTACCTTGATCAGGTTAGCAACAGTCCCAATCTCGACCCCGGAGTTTCTAACCTGGCAGACCTGGGTCACCGCTGGGCCCTGACCAACCTCTCTGATGCTTTAACGACCCACCCTTTCAGCAATTCTGAGAAACCCTCAAATGTTTTTCCAGCTTCGGGGGCCCTGCGTTGCATCAGAACTCCCGCCTGCAGGCGCTCGTCCTTGTGCCGGAAAACAGGCAAGAACAGCAAGCTCAGCAGCGTCTGGCTGGCGATCACCACCAACAGCTCCGGCTCCAGGCCCGAGGTTTGCCTAGTATTGAAACAGGTCTCAAAACTAAGTCACAGTGAACCACGGGATCGGTATTATGTGGGTTAATGTGGCACGAACCTTCAGCTTTCCCACTGAGTAATGGGCCTTGCGGGCACAAGGCGTCCGCCCAACGAGTCCCGAAATTTCTCCGATCCTGGAAACCCGCAAGAAACCCCCTCGGCCGAGCCCAGGTGTTTGGGATCGGTGGGTGGCAAATGATTAGAACTGGGTGTGCGCTACAACTGGGACGAATTGGCTTTAGGATTCCTTTCTAAATTACCCCCAAAACGGGGTCTCTCCAAAAAACTCGCACCCATCAGTTTTCAGCTTGAAAAGGACATGCCGAGGCGCAGCTTCAGGAAGGACCTGCTTCCTGAGCCCTTGGCGAGGGCACTCTTGGGGTCGGCGATCAAGTTGGCGATCCTCAGCTTGGACGGGTGAACTGGGAATGGGTGGGTCTACAAATGGGGAAACCCGGAAACCCGGAAACCGGCTTCAATTGGTTTGACCTATTTGGGAAACCGAGGTTGGTTTCAAATGGTAGGTTTAATACAGAAGACAACCAGCTTCGGGCCCTCTATGTTTAAAGCCCGAATGCAAGTGGACTCGGATTGAAGGGTTGCGCCCTTGTTTGTGAAACCCATCTTGGGGCTGGCCGAAAAGAAAGGGCCTCCTGTCAGGTTCGGCAGTGTGCCAGGGTTTGAAAAGTCCAAACTGAGCCATTTTGGACCCACGAACAAATGACAGTAACACTTGTGGCCATGGGAAAAATGGCACCTTTCGGCTCCAAAAATGAAATGCCCCACCGGGAGGTCTGGGAGATTACAGCCCCTGCCACTTCAACTTTTAGTGAAGTGAAAGATTCCTCTAAGTCCTAAAAACATTTCAAAGCTTAAAGTGGCTGGAAACCGCCAAGCTTATTTCTGGCACTTGATGTTAAGGGACGCTTTCTAAGTTAAGAAAGGGGAGCAACATGAGCAACACTCCAAAAACCTGCGCCGAGGATCGTTGGCACCCAGGACTTCCAGAGCCGCTGCTGCATGCCACCCTGCCCCGCCCGGCCCGCATCTTCGTGCACGCGCTGCAGCTCCAGCCAGCTGCAAATCGCCGAATCCATGGTGACGCGCTCCTTGGTTTTGAAAAGCGAAGGCTGGGAAGACCCAAATGGTTGTGGGGGCAGTGTCTCACGAAAAGGGCCAAACATGGTGGCCTTCTGGCTTCACAAGGATCCAACATGGGAACCCTCGAATCAACACTCGGAATGCCTGAGGATGCCACAATGGCAAGTTGTCTTCGCCGCTGAGTCTGTCTTCGCCGCTGAGTCTTCTCGTCATCAGCTGCGAGAGCGTCGGCCTGACAAGGAACTTCACATAGGGGGCGAAGTAAACGTTGCGGAGATGGGGAGGGTACAATCTGGATCCGATACCAATGGGGAAAATGGCATGCGGCAGGAAATGAAACGTTTTCCGAGGAAACGAATGAGACAAATTGGATTTTTGCCTTCAAAGACAAGCGTCCCGCTCAGCAAACACCCATTGAAAACCCTCTGCCTTCGCTTCTGGCTTTAGGATTGGCAGATTGCTGTCGCCGTACATGTCCATCCAAACATCCTCTATGCATCGACGTTTTTCACCAGCCAGGTCTGATGAGGGCGCATCTGGCGCACGTTGTAGCAGGCCCGGATTTTCCAAGAACTCCGCCAGGATGGCGGGCGACAAGTCTTCCAGCAAGACATTGTGACAGGCCAGCAGTCTGACATCCAATGCCTCGATGACCTCAGCCATGTACAAGCGATTTTGATGGCACAACCTCACTCCAGCACTCCCTCCCTTACAGATTTTCTTTACTCATGGCCCGAACCTCTGGAACTGCAACTTGGTGGCTGTTGTCCCCCCAACAAGATTATTTCTTGCCGGCGCCAAAAAGCTAGTTTGAACGTCCAACCAAATGGCAGCCAAAAGCGAGATGAAACTGGGCTCGCGGCTGGAAATGGCTGCTCTTCATTTAGAAAATAGTCCCTGATCATCTTCTGCAAATATTCCTGAACAGCTGTCGTAGTAGCAGTGGCACAGTCACAGTGATGCAGAAAAACAAAAGAAAGATTACCTCTGCACGCAGTACTGCACTTCACCAACCTGAATTCAGGAATCCCTCAGTTGAGGACCATTTGCTTTTACCCCCGCTTGGTGAGCTTGCAATTCGAAAAGTTTGTGAGGGCCCGATTATGGATGGCTCTTTTCAAGAAATGGAGTCCCAAAAACTGGGCTAGTTTCCTTTCAATTAATCTCCCTTCAAAACGGCCACCAAAGGCATACCGACTTGCAATGGGAAGAAGCAAAGCTAACGCAGTCCGAGGAGCCGGGGTGGCGCCTGCGACTTTCAGCTGGGAATGCACCTCGTCGATGCTTCGCAGAGACGTATCCTCGCGCAGGACGGACTGAAGAGTCACCTTCCAGGGAAAATGCTACGGTACCGCAGGACAGGCAGGGTGTTCGAGTTTGTGTTTGTGCTTGAGGCCATCTCCTAATCCGTAGGTGTTTCTGCTCCACGCCTGGAGCCTCTTGAAGTGGCGATGCGTTCCTTTCAAGACCGTGAGCCGCATCGGTAACCTCGCCGCGACCAAAAAGCGAAATGGCTATGAAAGATCAGCCGTAGGACTCAGCAGTGCAAAATGATTCAAGCTGAAATGATGGCCGGCCGGTAGGCCAATATGTTCACAGACCTCAGCTTGCGAAGGCTAGCCTAGTCCTCATTTTGTGAAGTACATAAGCTATGTGTTCATTTGATCTAAGCTTATGATCACAAGTTAGATGCACCATTTCATCAAACGGCGAGAAATCATAACCTCACAACCTTCGACATGAGATGCAACAAGACGCATGTTCTCAAGCATCGTAATATAAGATCAATGCATCGAGAATACGATCTGTATCTCATGTGCTGATGCATTTATCGCAAATAGTTCATGTGAGAACAAGTGACATGTAAACAAATGTATGTAATGTTGAGTCTCATTTTTCGTAATCATCGATGATTAGATGCATATGCATCGATATCTTGCTTTGGTGCGAGTTTCTGGGGCGTGACTGTAGGAATGTGGAAAGGCTTGCAACTTGTTGCAATGATTTCCGATAACCAATATTTGTTTGTTCAGAATAGTAGCTTGTGTTATGCATTGATGTGGTGTGGTCAAGGCGGCCCGTCTTACATGTATGTTGTTGGCTAAGTTATCTGGTGGGACTTGACATAACAATTATGGTGCTGCATGACCAAATGATATTGTGTACACATTTGCTGTTTTGATATATGGCTTGGGAGTGCTGACAATGTCTTGTTCAAATGCTTTCTCCAATTATGATTCCAAAGTGCATTATACAGTCCTTGTAGAAGAGCTATGAGTAATGGTGTGTGTAACATTATTGCACAGTATTTTAGCAATCTGGCTACGTGTTGGATCACTAGTTGAAATAGATAAGGCTTTACCTCTGCTTCAATTGCAGCATGTCTGCTGCTTGTTACTCTCATGAATGAGCACCTATAGGCGCTCATGATGAGATGTTGATGAGAATATGTTGATGAGCATCATCATCATCAGCATCATCATCATCATCATCTTCTTCTTCTTCTTCTTCTTCTTCTTCTTCTTCTTCTTCTTCTTCTTTTCGTAAGTGCAGCTTGCCTGCAACTTGCATGTTCATCAAGAAAATCAACTCATAGCAGTCAAAAGCACAGTGAAAGGCTCCTGGCTCCCTTAAAACTTACAAGAACAACAAGTGTGTTTCTTTAAAAAAGCAAAAAGCTTGTCTTGCAGCTCGCAGAGCTGCATAGGCAAGAGATAAGTTAAGAAGTGGAAGTTGGCCTGGCAAGCTCCAGAAACTCGCACCAAAGCAAGATATCGATGCATATGCATCTAATCATCGATGATTACGAAAGATCAGACTCAACATTACATACATTTGTTTACATGTCACTTGTTCTCACAATCTGAATCTAGTGATGCATCTCTCCGCAAACAAGACATGAACTATTTGCGATAAATGCATCAACACATGAGATACAAATCGTATTCTCGATACATTGATCTTATATTACGATGCTTGAGAACATGCGTCTTGTTGCATCTCATATCGAAGGTTGTGAGGTTTTGATTTCTAACTTGTGATCATAAGCTTAGAACAATTAAACACATAACTTATCTAATTCACAAAATGAGGACTAAGGTATCCTTGCTTGTGTTGATTATGATTGCATGTTGATCATATTGATCATACTTCTGTTCTTATCGAAGCAAGCGCTGAGCTTGTTATGTCTGACCTTTGGATGGAGTCATTGTGCTGCTCGTTGCATTTGAGCTCTCAGCAAGCTTACGCGTTATGGGGAAGCAGCTCGTCATGTCTTGATCTCCTCTTATTATGGAAGATGAGATCTATTACAAGCTACTGATCATGCTGCTGATGCTTGAAATTAACCTTCTGCTTAACGTACGAAGTTTAGCAACTCAGAGCTTGTAATTTACTGGGTTATTGTCTTTTCACATGGCCTTTAGGCCATGTCTGTGTTCAAAAGAAACAAACATCCTTCTATAGACAAGCATGCAACGCATGCTTACGACTTTCCAAGCGCACGGTCTTGCAGCCCGGAGGGCTGAGTAGATGTGCGCAAAAGAAAAAAGGAAGTACACGCTGAGGTCAATACATACAATTGCAGCTTCCAGCTGCAATCTTAAGCAAATCACACGCGGAGGCACATTGTGGGCAAATGCATGTTTATCACACAAATCCTGTGCAATAGCATGCAATTGCATACACAATGCATGCATGCATAGAAAGCTTCTGTAAAAAATAGAAGGCAAAAGGCGTGCAAAGCGAAGGTTTGCAATGTTTTTGCCTTAGGATTGAACAAACACGCTGACGTAAGGGGCGATTTGTGAACATCGGGTTTTCGCCTAAGACCCGCTACACCTGCCGCCCGAGTTTTTGGAGCGCAGGGCTTTTAGGGCATCCTCATCTTGTGGGCGGGCGCCTGCCAGCCCGCAATGTGTGATCGGCCGGGCTGGCGGGCACCTGATAGGCCGCTAGGTGCGCCGGCGCCTATCTAATGTAAGCATGAGCCCAAAAAGCCCATACGAAAAAATGCAAAAACTTCAATATGTAAAAACCAATATCCAAAAACAAAGTAAAGCTAACTTTTTGTGAAAATCAGGAGCCGCGCATGAAGACAATGGCAAGCTGAGGTGACCTGCCGCAGATTACAATTAGTTTACCTATTGTGAAAAAGTCCGGCTTGAGGATGTTCGGGAATTCAGGCCGAATACCGATGCACTAAGTTCTGGGCCAACTATAGCTCAGCATGCAGCGTTAATAGCTTTGCGTGCGCACAGGCACAGCTTCTGCTTATCTGCATGTTGAGCATAAGCTCATGGTGCATTTGAGTTTTTAAAAAAGGCTAGTCTTGCATGAATGCAGGTATACACATACACGTGGACATTCCCATGAACATGCACATCCACATGTGTATATATATATATATGGTCATGACTTGTTTTAGGGGTCTGTAACGCGCGACGCGCCACGAATCTTCTCACGGAGGTCTGTAACGAAGGTCCTTGTTACGCAGGTCTGTAACAGAAAAAACATTTCCTGACAAGCAGTATCAGTAGCACAATATAGCGCAGCACAACGAGGCGTGTACTGGCTGTGTAACGAGGTTTGTAACGAGGCAAAGCAAAGCGCAGGACGCAAAGCGCGCCTCCGCAGCTCCAGCTTGATTGCAGCTACTCAATGCAAGCCAAGCTGCGGCAAAAAGCAGGGTCGCTGGCCCGGGCTGGGGTTGGGTCTGTGACGAGGCATGTGTGTGACGAGGTCTGTAACGAGGCAAAGCGAAGCGCAGTACGCAAAGCGCGCCTCCGCAGCACCAGCTTGCTTGCAGAAATTCAACGCAGGCCAAGCTGCGGCACAAAGGGGGGTCGCTGGCCTGCGCTGAAGTTGAGTCTGTAATGAGGTATGTAACAGCTACGCAACGAGGTCTGTAACGAGGCAAAGCGAAGCGCAGTACGCAAAGCGCGCCTCCGCAGCACCAGCTTGCTTGCAGAATTTCAACGCAAGCCGAGCTGCGGCAAAAAAGGGGGTCGCTGGCCCGGGCTGGGGTTGGGCAAAGCAAAGCACAGTACACAAAGCGCCTCTGCAGCTCCAGCTTGATTGCAGCTATTCAACGCAAGCCAAGCTGCGGCAAAAAGAGGGCAGTCACGTCACTGGGTTTGTTCATCTGAGGTGTGTAACGAGGGTGTGTAACGAGGGTGTGTAACGAGGGTGTGTAACGAGGGAACGCGGGGTGTGTAACGAGCCAGCTGGTCTTGTTACAGAGGTCTGTAACAAGGTCTGTAACAAATGTCCGCCGCGGCTCTGTTACGGGTAAGGGATCAAAAGCTTTTTAGGCATCAAAAAAACTTATTCTAAAGATCAAAAAAACTTATTAGGGATCAAAAAAATATTCTCATTGATTTACTATTCAAAATGAAAATCAGAGGATCAAAAAAGAACTTATAGGGATCAAAAAACCTTATTCATTTCGTGGCAGGCGAAGCACTTTCGCAAGGTCAGGTACAGATTTCGTGGCACGCGCGGCACTTTCGCAAGGTAGGCGCAATGCTTTCGCAGGTCAGGTGCAGATTTCGCAGCAGGCGCAGCGCTTTCGCAAGGTACAGATTTCGCGGCACGCGCAGCACTTTCGCACGGTCAGGTACAGATTTCGTGGCAGACGCAATACTTTCGGAGGTCAGGTACAGATTTCGCAGCAGGCGCAGGACTTTCACAAGGCGCGGTCCAGATTTCGCGGCAGGCGGCACTTTCGCATCAGCGGGGCGGCAGCTCCCCCCCCATGATGTTCGAGGAAGTGATGATTCAACAAGGGGTGCGTTAAGCTCTGCAAGCATTCTACAAATTAGCAGGCGGGTGGGGGGGGCTGCCGATGATGTTCGAGAGCTCTGTAAGCATTCTACAAATCAGCCCCATGATGTTCGAAGAAGCGATGACTCAACAAAGGGTGGTGATGATCGAAGAAGTGATGATTCAGAAAAGGGTGTGGTAATCTCTGTAAACATTCTGCAAATCAGCGGGGGGGTTGGGGGGGGCAGCAGCCCCTCCCACGATGCTCGGAGAAGTGATGATTCAACTAAGGGTGATGATGATTGAAGAAGTGATGATTCAGCGAAGGGTGCGTGAATCACTGTCAACCTTCTACACTTCAGCCGGGTGAGGAAGGTCAGGTACAGATTTCGCAGCAGGCGCAGCAATTTGGCAAGAGGTACCAATTTCGCGGCAGGCGCAGCACTTTCGCAAGGTACGGTGCAGAGATTGACGCAGGCGCAGCAATAAATCAGCGGGGGGGGTGGGGGGGGGGGGGGGGGGGGGTGGGGGGGGGGGCTGCCGCATGATGTGCGAGGAAGTGAAGATTCAACAAAGGGTGCGCTAAGCTCTGTAAGCATTCTACAAATCAGCAGGGGGGTTGGGGGGGGCGGCAGCCTCCATGATGTTCGAAGAAGTGATGATTCAACAAAGGGTGGTGATGATCGAAGAAGTGACGATTCAGCAAAGGGTGCGGTAATCTCTGTAAACATGCTGCAAATCAGCGGGGGAGTTGGGGTGGGGCGGCAGCCCCCCCCATGATGCTCGAAGAAGTGATGATTCAACTAAGGGTGATGATGATTGAAGAAGTGATGATTCAGCAAAGGGTGCGTGAATCACTGTCAACCTTCTACAATTCAATGGGGTGAGGAAGGTCAGGTACAGATTTTGCAGCAGGCGCAGCACTTTAGCAAGGTCAGGTGCAGATTCGCGGCAGGCGCAATACTTTCGCAAGGTGCGGTCCACATGTCGCGGCAGGCGCAGCACTTTCGCAAGAGGTACCAATTTCGCGGCAGGCGCAGCACTTTCGCAAGGTACGTTTGACGCAGGCGCAGCATTAAATCAGCCGGGGGGTTTGGGGGGGGGGGGGGCCAGCCCCCCCGATGATGTTTAAGGAAGTGAAGATTCAACAAGGGGTGCGCTAAGCTCTGTAAGCATTCTACAAATCAGCAGGGGTTGGGGGGGGCGGCAGCCTCCATGATGTTCGAAGAAGTCATGATTCAACAAAGGGTGGTGATGATCGAAGAAGTGATGATTCAGCAAAGGGTGCGGTAATCTCTGTGAACATTCTGCAAATCAGCGGGGGAGTTGCGGCAGCCCCCCCCATGATGCTCGAAGAAGTGATGATTCAACTAAGGGTGATCATGATTGAAGAAGTGATGATTCAGCAAAGGGTGCGTGAATCACTGTCAACCTTCTACAATTCAGCGGAGTGAGGAAGGTCAGGTACAGATTTCGCGGCAGGCTCAGCACTTTCGCAAGAGGTACCAATTTCGCGGCAGGCGCAGCACTTTCGCAAGGTACGGTGCAGAGTTTGACGCAGGCGCAGCATTAAATCAGCGGGGTGGTCGGGGGGGGGGGGGGCCAGCCCCCCCCGATGATGGTCGAGGAAGTGAACATTCAACAAGGGGTGCGCTAAGCTCTGTAAGCATTCTACAAATCAGCAGGGGGGTTGGGGGGGGCGGCAGCCCCCCCCATGATGTTCGAAGAAGTGATGATTCAACAAAGGGTGGTGATGATCGAAGAAGTGATGATTCAGCAAAGGGTGCGGTAATCTCTGTAAACATTGTGAAAATCAGCGGGGGAGTTGGGGGGGGCGGTAGCCCCCTCCATGATGCTCGAAGAAGTGATGATTCAACTAAGGGCGATGATGATTTAAAGAAGTGATGATTCAGCAAAGGGTGCGTGAACCACTGTCAACCTTGTACAAATCAGCGGGGTGAGGAAGGTCAGGTACAGATTTCGCGGCAGGCTCAGCACTTTCGCAAGAGGTACCAATTCCGCGGCAGGCGCAGCACTTTCGCAAGGTACTGTGCAGAGTTTGACGCAGGCGCAGCATTAAATCAGCGGGGTGGTCGGGGGGGGCGGGGGGCCAGCCCCCCCGATGATGTTTAAGGAAGTGAAGATTCAACAAGGGGTGCGCTAAGCTCTGTAAGCATTCTACAAATCAGCAGGGGGGTTGGGGGGGCGGCAGCCCCCCCCATGAAGCTCGAAGAAAGTGATTCAGCAAAGGGTGCGTTCAGCGGGGGTGGTTGGGGGGGGGTTCCTTCCGTCCTTCCTTCCTTCCTTCCGTCCTTCCGTCCTTCCGTCCTTCCGTCCTTCCGTCCTTCCGTCCTTCCGTCCTTCCGTCCTTCCGTCCTTCCGTCCTTCCGTCCTTCCGTCCTTCCGTCCTTCCGTCCTTCCGTCCTTCCGTCCTTCCGTCCTTCCGTCCTTCCGTCCTTCCGTCCTTCCGTCCTTCCGTCCTTCCGTCCTTCCGTCCTTCCGTCCTTCCGTCCTTCCGTCCTTCCGTCCTTCCGTCCTTCCGTCCTTCCGTCCTTCCGTCCTTCCGTCCTTCCGTCCTTCCGTCCTTCCGTCCTTCCGTCCTTCCGTCCTTCCGTCCTTCCGTCCTTCCGTCCTTCCGTCCTTCCGTCCTTCCGTCCTTCCGTCCTTCCGTCCTTCCGTCCTTCCGTCCTTCCGTCCTTCCGTCCTTCCGTCCTTCCGTCCTTCCGTCCTTCCGTCCTTCCGTCCTTCCGTCCTTCCGTCCTTCCGTCCTTCCGTCCTTCCTTCCTTCCTTCCTTCCTTCCTTCCTTCCTTCCTTCCTTCCTTCCTTCCTTCCTTCCTTCCTTCCTTCCTTCCTTCCTTCCTTCCTTCGCCTTATAGGAATGAGCATAAGTTTGTGTTTGATGCCTAATAAGTTTGTTTTTATGCCTAATAAGTTTTTGTTGATGCCTAATAAGGTTTTTTGATGCCTATCCCCTCTGTTGCAGGCCCCTCAAAAAATCACTGCCATATATATATATATATGTATATATATGTACATACACACACCGACTGCACATTTACATGCACGCCCAGATACACATGCATTTACCTATGCATACACATATACATGTAGATAGCTGCATACATATGCATATGCATATACATTGGTATACATAATAATATGTATGAAATGTATTTAAAGAAACTATTAAAACTGATATATATATATATACATATATATACATGAACATGTAGATGTACGCTGTTGCATAAAAATACATATTTTTGCATACACTGAAACATATGCACAGTACATAAAGACAAACTGCAAAGCCCCTCCTCCAAAGAATCGATTGTTAGGTTTGAGTCGCCCAGGAATATGGTGCAAGCCGAAAGCATCCCTCGTGGATGGGCCGAAAGTGGTCCAAACCAGAAATCAACCCCCCTAAAATTGTCACGGAATCAACGAGACAAGCGAGGTGCTTGACCGCACTTAGGCAGGGACTGAAACTCTCCAGGCTTAGCGCCATGGCCAAAAGCTGATGCAGGCGCCAGCCCCGACAGCTGACTAGGCGCCTCAGCGACCACCTAGGGAGCTGCAAACCGAAAGGAAAATTGCCATTTTCAGGATGAGGTTCGGCACAAGTTGCGGGGGATCAAGTATTTGAGGTTTCTGGTTAGAAAAGACGCCTGCCGTGCCAAATTGCGTACAAATCTGATGCTGGAGCTCTGCGAAGCTGAGCGCAAAGTCCAGCCTGCCGTTCTGCAAGCTGTCCAGCGTGATAGAGGCGGTAGTATCCATCCTGCAGACTGGGCCCAAGAATTTGACTGTGTATCCAATGCAGAAACCGTGTCAGAGCAGCATGCCATTCAAGCGAGCGGCCTTTTGCCCAATGCAGCGATGCAGGATACGCTGCATATCTGGCCATTGATGCGAATCTCATCTCAATCCCAGAAAGACACCAGGCATCAACATGCTATGATGGTGATGTTTGAATTTGTGAGGTGTGGTTGTGAGGTGTGGTTGTGAGGTGCTTCTTTGTGAGTGTGCAGGGTGTGTTTGTCAAGTGTGTTTATGAAGAAAAGGGCGTTGTCTGACTGTAACGTTGCATCATGCTCATCATCGTATGTTGGAAAATGTCACTCAGGGGCTCAACCGCTAATTCTGGATAAGCTCAATCCTGGAAATAGAACGAGGTGGAATCATGTTTTGCGATGTGGGACTTTGGGTTTTTCGCGCGAAACTTCAGCTGCAGCATGGCAAGTGCATTTTGGTTCACATGACCGAGTCCTTGGCGGGCGAAAGCTTGCGCATTCTCAGCACAAACAACGCGCATCATCTTTCCATCTGTAAAGGTTACCCCACACCAAGGAAACTCGCCGGGCCAATTCGCTTTGCGAAATTGTGATGTTGAAAAGCTTGAAATCAACTTTGAAGGGATATGAAACTCTGAAACTCCATTACCTCGTTGGTGGCAGACGTGTCCAAATGCTACTGCTTGCAAGATCTTCGTCACTGTAGAAATGCGGTCAAACGGATGTTGCGTGTTGCTACATCTGCTTCAGTCAAACTATGAAGATCTTCAATTTTTGTCATGCAATTTGGGGATGCATTCAAACTAGTATGTTGCAACGAGCACTACCTATAAATATCCTAGCAGTCATGGTGCAGTTCAAAGAGTTTGAGGCACAGTAGTTTTTTTTGATATTCGTCCCTTCTATTTGCTGCGGACAGCACTGCGTCCTGGATGCATTGGGGTGACATAGTGGCACCCCTCAGGTGCCTGTAACACTTAGACTTGCACTGCATCGCTGCATCCGTGCAAGTTGCTGAGCCCCTCAGCGTGTTTTTGCGATCGCATGGTTTCAAGGCCTCTTGTTATGTCATTTCCTCGCCCGCCTCACGTCCAGTCTGTGCCTAGTGTTTACTTGCACATGTACACCGAGCGGTATGCCCTGCCCTCCCACGACGATCTGCGCTGCCTTCGCCAGGGAGCTGTCCCTGGATTCTGCCGTGCTCGACTGTCTGATTGCAGACGGGTCCGCCGCCAAATTTCTTGCGGAGGACGCCGATCTCGAGCCCTCGAAGGGGCGCCTCCGGCCGCCCCTCAGTCGAGGAGGCTGCCGAGAGGAGCCCGTATTAAAGGAATCTCCAGGGCTTGGACAAGGATCCTGCGCAGCTGGTCCCAAGCTGATCTCCAACTTTGAGGGCCGGCTGAAGCGAGCCCACAAGGCGCAGAAGGCTCAGCAGGAGGCCCTTCCGGCCGGCGACGGCCGAGGCATCGCAGTTGCCGTGCCATCAGATGGAGAAGGAGATCTGTGAGGAGTTTTTGGTCGGCAAGAAGATGGCCACCGACCATGGAGGCCGCAAAGGGCACCACCGCCTCTGCGGCGGAGAGGCTCGAGAGCGCCGCAGAAGGTCCCTAGATACCCTGATCGTCCGAGCAAGAGCTGCTCCAGCAGCACGACTACGGCAAGACACCTTCACCAGGTTGTGCCCCAGCAGCGAGCGGAACCTCTAGGTTGCGCCCTGGCGGGCGGAACCTCCCCAAAACGGCCGTTTTCGCTGGGTTGCGCCCAGTCCGTTACGGAAACGAGGAGCAGGTCACAGAAACAAACTGTGTCACAAAAAAGAAGATCTAACAAGGAACAAGCCAAACGGAGGAACCGCCAAACCCAAAAAAGCAAAACGGGCAAAAGACGGTCGCGCTCCCTTTTTTGTTCGGCGTTGCTCAGAGGTACAGGCTCAGGGGTGCAGAGGAGTCAACAACGCAATGCGTGTCCAACTTTTGCTCTGCACCCTCTGAGCCTGAGATTTGGAACCCCCACTTTGGGGCTCTGACCGGATTGACCAACGCCCCTTTTTTAGGGCGGTTGCAACGCTTGCCTATGCTCGGGCCGCCACGGCGCGTCTGCAGGATGCAGAGTTAAGGCGGACAGAAATCATTACGGCTTAAAAAGCGAGTTCTGGCTGAGGCATGTGCGAATGCAATGAGGTTCTTCTAAGCTGGTTGGCCCAATATTTTGCGATCACAGACGACTTGCGCTTCTGTGCCCATGCGGCCACCAGTTGCACAAACACTTGCAGACGCCAAGAAGTGGCGAACAATTTGCTCACGCCCGCCTCCGTTGTCTGTGCCTGCCGGGGTCTGCTCATTAATTTGGGTTGTGGGATGCATCAGATTGGCTTGTGATTTGAAAATTCATCAAAATGACTTGTGAAGGATTGGATTGGCTTGTTCGTTTTTAGATCGGCTTGTGAGAGGGATCAGATTGGCTTGTGAGGAGCATTAGATTGACTTGTGAGCATCAGATTGGCTTGTGAGAGGGGTCAGATTCACTTGTTATGGCTTTGACAGCTTCAAGCATCAGATTGGCTTGTTAGTTGTACACCATCATTCGTCATTCATCATCATCATCATCATCATCATCATCATCATCATCATCATCATCATCATCATCATCATCATCATCATCATCATCATCATCACCATCATCCATCGACCATTCATCATCCAGCATCAGCAACATCATCATCATCATCATCATCACGTCGTTCATGATCAATCATAGATCAGCGATCATCTAAACCATCGTCGCCATCACCCATCAAGCATCATCATCGTCGTCGTTATGCAACTGTGATCATCCTCATCATCGTCGTCGTCATCATCCACCATCAGCATCCATCCTCACCGTCATCCATCATCGTCATCATCATCAGGGTCGTCGCATCTTCATCATCACCATAGCCGTCTTAGCTAATTTCTTACACACGCGCGCTCGGCGTGATTTGTTAGAATGAAACGGACGATCGTCATCATCGTCGTCACCCACCATCATTATCCGTCATCAAGATCATCCTCACAAGGTTGGTCAACCATCATCATCATCATCATCACGGTCATCATGGTGATCATCATCGCCATCTTCATCATTATCCATCATCGTCCTCATCATCTCATCACCAACGTTTATCATCATCCATCATTATTATCATGGCGATCATCAGCATCATCATCATCACCATCATCGTGATCTTCCGTCATCGGCATCATCGTCGTGGTCATTGCATCATCGGCGTCATGACCCTTACCGCTTATCTTACACACACTTCAACTGCGCCGTCAGGCAACGCTCGGCGCGCAAAGGATGCTACGATGACAATCGTCGTGGCATGGATGATCAGCATCATCATCACTTTCATCATGCATCATCATCATGACCAGCCTCATCATGATCCATCCTCCTTATTATCATGAACCATCATCATCATCATCATCATCATCATGCGTCATCATCATCCATCACCACCATCCTCCGTCATCATCATCGACATTGTAGACTTAGCCTCTATCTTCCGTCCGTTTCAATTGCGTGTTAGGCAGCGCTCGGCACGCAGAGGATGCTACGAAGATGCTTGTCGTGGCACGGAGGATGAGCATCATCATCATCACCTTCGTCGTCCATCATAGTCATCGTCCGTCATCATGATCACCGTCAAATCCATGCATCATCATCATCATCATCATCCTCATCATCACCTGTCATCATCATCCATCATCAGCATTTTTCATGATCCTCCATCGTCATCCATCATCCTCATCCATCCATCATTATCACCGCTGCATCGTTCTCATCATCCTCATCATCATCGATCGTACTGCACCATCATCATCCATCATCATCAACCCACCAATCTTCATAGTGAGAATCATCGTCATCCGTCAGCATTGTCATCATCATTGTGGTCTTCGCTTATCTCTTGCGCGTGGCACGGACTCGTCATCATCATCATCATCATCATCATCATCCCTCATCATCATCATCATCATCATCATCATCATCATCATCATCATCATCATCATCATCGTCCGTCACAGGATCATCATCATCTCCACCCGCGATGATCATGGGTGATGATGACGGTGGTAGACGATAGATGGTGATGATGACGATGATGAGGATGATGAATATGACCTTTGCAAAAACGGTCATGATGGACGACGATGAGGATGCTAATGGCGCCACGAGGAAGAAGGCGATGACTTAGACTATAATGGATGGTGACGATGATGACTGATGATGATGATGATGGTGCGTGATGGATGGATGGATGGATGATCATGATGATGGTGATGGTGATGATGGTGATGATGATAATGTTCATCTGTGCAACGATGAGATGCATTGTTGATGATGTTAATGATAGGCGATGATGATGATGATGATGATGATGATGATGATGATTGATGATGATCATGGCGCGCAGCTGCCGCGAAGGAGCGGAGGCTTCATTGAAACTCGTGTTCCAACTTGGTTCTTCCGCAGTTTACCTGATGCTCCCCCACAAGTTAATCTGACCCCCTCACAAGCCAATCTGATGCTTCACAAGTCTTTTTGGTGCTTCTGCAAGTGAACAAGCCAATCTGATCCCTGCGCAAGTCTGTTTGATCCCCAGCCCGCCTGCCGGATCGCAACGGAATGGTTGCTGTGTCCTTCGACACTCCAAGCTACGCGCAGAAGCGCAAGCTGCGCGAGAGTCTCGAAGCACGCAATGCGTCGCTCCGCATCCTTGGTAGGGAAAGGCCTCTTCTGCAAAGCCCCAGTCTCTGCGAACCAGCATGCGGAGCGGCTGAAGATGAACTGCAAATCTTCAAGGCGCGCATTGCAACGGGCTTGCAAGATCGTGCTGGAAGGCCGTTGCAGAGCAGTACTGCAAGTCTGCGCTCTACAAGCTTGCGCTTCACTCTTGCGGATTTTCAGTTGAGCGGCTTTGGTAGGCATGGTTTGATGGTCTCGAATGCGACACTGAGGGACCAGCCGCACCATGTTAACTTATTTTGGAATTGCACTTATTTATTCCAAAAAATGGGCGCTGAAAGCGCAACTGACTTCTAGGACAAGCGTGGTTCCTTGCCTTTGGCACGCGCAACGTTTTACGCTGGTGCGGACAACCCATTCTTGAG